AATACATAAGAAGAAAATATAAGAGAACCTAGAGATTATATTATATATATATTGACGCATGTGAGACAAGTCTCTGTAACCTAAAATTTATAATAATAGTAAGGACTAAAAATACACTATTGTATATATAGACGTGATGATTAAAATTAATAGATTCTATAAAATTCACAAATTTCACTAATAATTTAAGCATAAACTAAAATATTAGTCAATGAAAAAATTATTGATAATTAATTCTTAGAATACTAAGTGAATTATTGAAAATCTTTCTATTAGGTAGTTAAAACTATACTTTAGTAATTATATATTTAAAATTTGTGTATTTAAAAATGATATTCATATTAAATTTTATTAAATAATATATTTAAAGAAAAATATTTGAATATTTATAAAAATTAATAATACTATTATCTTAAATAAAATTTGCTATATTAACAAAATATATAAATTTATTATTTTTTAAATGAAACTATTAAATAAATAAGATGAATAGAAATTATAACATCAGCATTCACTTTAATTGAAAATCACATGAAAACGCATTAAAGAGTTCGAGGAGAATGCATTTTTATTTTTATTTAAAAATCTTTTTATTTGCTTATGTAGTGTCCTTAGGATACTATTAGCATTAACTTTAATAAAAATATAAAACCTTTCATTTAATACTCTTTTTCAGGTCTATTTTATAGATTGACAGATAGGTGCTATGACAGTGATAAAGCTACGAGTTTGGTCAATTTGACTAAAAATTAGTTGGAGAATTAGCATTTGCTTTTGAACAATAAACAAATAAAATATATGCAAAGATCTTAGCAAATAAAAAAATGCAAGATGACAAAAACACTATATTTTCCATATAGGAGGATCATGTGCTTGGAAAATAAAAAATAATAACGTAGCCTAGGAGGTCATGTGCTCCTTGTTTCTTTTATTATCTCTATTCTTATTATTAATATGACGATCATGTGCTTTTGATTTTCATTATATTAATCTTTCTATAAATCATACAACACATGCACTACTATCTTAAATGTATTTAACATAATGTTAAAAAAATATAGATATACACCAAGGTAGAGATTAAAGTGTCATTGTCATCTCTCATCAATTTTATATTTTTTAATAATTTTATTATTAATATAAAGCAATGATTCATTTCTTAATAAGTAGTATTTGTGGAAAAAATAAAATGATTAGATATCTTGTATTTCCACATGTGAAATCAATTAGCTAGCATAGTGGAATGAATAATTAAGATAATTAATGTGGTATTAATAATAATACATGAACAATTTATTTAGTGCCCTCTTTGCCTTGGGATGAAGGACCCCCATAATAAATATACAGGGTTTTAGCATTTTTCTCACTCAACCATTACATTTGACTAATGAACAAAACCAAAGTGGTGTTGTTCATTCATAATAATGATGTTGGGAATGGCTTTGGACAGAAACAAACCGTAGCCTTTTAATAGGGTTAACACTTTGGGAGACTGTCTTAATGGAAGGGGTTATTTACTATATAATAATAATAATATATAATTAATATATTTGATTATATTAATTATATTTACTATTATATTTAAAAATAATGATTTTATATTTATTATTTAAAATATCTTAATTTTTTTTAATTTTTATTATTTTTGTATATTAACTTAAATATAAAAATATCTTTGTAGATTATAAAAATATCTTTGTAGATTCTTTTTTTACAGCATTTAGTAGAGTTCGTTCAAGTACATTCAAAAGTAACAGTTCAATCTTGATATTATTAAACCTATTTTTTATTATAATAAAAAAAACATATGAATTTCATTAAAAGTAATCATAATAAATTTGAACTATTTTACGAATAATTATTTTGAAATTTAATATTATTCTAATTCATCTTTAATTTTTTTTCGTGGTAAATCAGTATAATAAAATTAAATTTTTGTTTCAACTAATCTTATACATACATAAATATCACAAGTTTTAATTGCATTTAAATTATTTCTGTCAAACTAGAGTTAATTTATATGTGTTCAATTTCATTCACTTGTATTTTCATTCTTTTTGTTACAATTCTATTTTTGTTAAATTTTTGGAAAAAAATAAAAATATACTTTATTTTTTAATTATAAACTTATTGCATTTCAAGGATTGGAATTTGTAAAATTAAAACTAATAAATTATTAGGATTTGAAATAAATAATTAATGAAAATGATCTAATCCCAATTTAATACAAGACTATTTAAAAAAAAAAAAGCCAAAATTGAATATGAAATTGAGTTTGAGGTTTTTGTAAAATTGGAAATTTAAAGAATGAATTTGAACGAAGTTGGTGTGATTTTTAAATAAAATAAAATTTTAAATTTGATAGAGATAATGTTAAAGTTTAAAACGACTATTTATATAAAACATAAATACTTTTTAAAAATATAATTAATAGGTTTTGATGTCAATTACAATAAATTTTATTTTGAAAAAAAAAGTAATTTTGAAATGATTATATCATGTTACCTAATGACAAAGAGAATCCTTAAAAAAATGTTGATATTTTAAATATTTAAACAATATAATTAATTATTGATCACAAGTCTTATTTACCGGAGATAATATTAATAAAAATATAATAATAATTAATAATATATTAATGTTATTAATGATTAATAGTTATATTAATAATATAAAAATTATTATTATATATTTTATTATTAATTATAATTATAATATAAAATGTTAAACTGATATTATTATTAAAAAATAGAAATCATATATTTAATACAATTACGGACATTTTCATTTTAAAATTATACTTAATGTTAAGACTTATCTAAATTTGTATTTTATTTAATTTATTTGTTTTAATAAATTATACAAAAAAAACACAAGTATGTGTTCCTTAAAACTCTAAAAACCAAAATAAAAATTAGGTTTGTAAAGGAATAAAGAAAAAAACGAAGCAAGTAACTTTTGGTCACCTGAAAAGTAGAACAAAACTGTGATCTATGAGTATATTAATATATATAGTAATAGTAGGAACCCTAGCTAAGCAAGTGTATACCTTTGCCCTCAAGTTATGTCATTCCCCAATGAAGGGCAACCCTTAGAAATAGATACATACAAAGATCTACTCTACATATGCACATCCTAATATATCCCATAAACCTATTTGTTTATTTATTTAATACTAATAATAAAAATATTTATTAGCCGATTTTGATTTATTTAAAAATTATTTAAAATTTGATATAGTTCAATCTATTTTATGAACTAATATTTTTTTTATTTAAAATTAGTTTAGAAAGATCCAGAATTCTGTATGGTATATATGGACATGGGCAAAAGAAGAGAGCGAGGATTGAAACAAGAATAAGACAGTGATGGGGTAGAATTTTTCGAGTGACGCTTGTGTCACACTGTCACGTGCCAATGCATCTTTGTTCATGCAACCCACCACTTGTTTGCTTTATTACCCCTTTTAACTTAAAGAAGAGTGAGACACATTGCAAGCCAAACCAAAACCATAATTGTTGCTTATAAAAATAATAATTACACTCTTTCTTTCTCTCTCTATCTCTCTCACACACACTCTTCTTTTATGTCTAATCCCATCCAACATTAATTACTATTATCCTTTCATCTAATGTACTAATACCCCTATTCTTCATCTCTCAACATTTGTAGACCTTGACATGTTCCCATTAACTTCTTTTGCTGAGTAAACGTGTTTCGGTGTTCATACTTGAATCTGTACTGGCCGTTAAATGTGTGTAGTGCAAATTTTATTATGAAATATGAATTTGGGTTTAGTCAATTGAAAAGGAACAAAGGTTGTGGAACCGAACATGTTCACATAAAAAGACACTCACATCCTTCTCAGTCCAGCTACATCCCATGGTTTGCTGTTTAGGTTTCCATAAATGCCCTCTCCCAGGACAGGCTAGAGTAGAGAGTAGAGTAGACCGTCACTCAAAACAAAACCAGTATACCATACTATCTATAATAATAACAATAAATATTGTCCTATAACATTTTCAATATATTAAATGTCACAACATTTACTCAATTCTTTTGTCTTCACATTAGTATATGGAACTAAAGAAATACACGTTGTGGTTTAGTATGTTCTACATAAAACTTTTTTTTTTTATCCACAAAATCTCTTAAAGATAATATAATGGAAGTAGGAAATTGGGTACTAAATAGGACACATTAATTGATTCACATGTTTAGTAGTACTAGTATCATTCTTATGAGATATATTTAGCAAAAGGTTTTTTTAGTGTTTGATACAATAAAAATAATGTTTTTTTGTAAGTATTTATTGTAGGTTCAGATGTAAGAATCTAATTTAAAATTAGTAGTTAAATTTAAGTAAGTTGAGGTCATTTAGATAGTGTAATTCAAATGTTGGTATAAAAATTGAATCATGGATGGTTTAGAATGTTCAAAAGAAAATTTTGACACTTGTGATAATCTATTTTATTTGATTAAGATTGTTTTTAGTATAAGATAAATGCGATCTTGTATGAGAAAAAAAATGATGATATTTTTATAAACCATGTCCAGTCAGTTTCTTGCTCCCCACCAGTTTCTCTCTATCTCTCCAATTATTTTATCTTTGTCAAGACATCAACTCCCAAAAAAACAAAACCAGTCTGGTTTCCGGTTTCCAGATTCAGCTTAGCTTTAAGGTGTCAAGCATATCTTCTATTTCTACTTCACCCCTCTTCCACACTCACCTCTCTCTCTCTCTCTCTCTCTCTCTCTCTCTCTTCATTTTCTCTCTCCACCCACATGAGATGTGCCTTCCTTTTCCAAAGGGAGCAGCAACAACTTGTGTACTCTTCTTCTTGTTGTTGTCCACCACCTCCCAGGAAGAGATGCCTCATCACCAACACTTTCCTTGCTCCTTGAAGCCTAGTCTTGTTAATGCTATTATCATTGTCTAGTTCTAGTTATCTGTGTGCTCTTTTTTTTTTCTACCTGTTTTTGGTTCTCTCTTTGTCCTGATGGATCTTGGGGTGGTGGGTTTGGAGGGGTTGGTGGGTTCAGATAGTGGTGGCGCCTTTGGTTCTTCTCTTGCTGCAGATCCTGAGACAAAGCACAAGTGGTACGGATCTGGGGTGCTCAAGCAAGAGAGATCTGGCACAGCAAGTGAAGATGAGTGGAGGACTTCAAAAGTGGCTAAAACTGATGACAACATGTCTGCTGCATCCAAAGCAATGCTCTTTCACCAGAGAAACTCTCTGCTGAGATCTAATGCCACACTTTTCTCAGAGGGCCACAATCAGCCACAAATGCTGAGTTTCTCCTCTCCAAAATCAGAGCCTTTGTTGGTGGACAAGGCCTCCTCAAATGCCACATTGCCTTTTTCTTACCACCAATTGTCTAGTTACAGCAGAAATACAGGTACAACTTGGTTATGGGGTTTATCTCAGGAAAATGATAATCATTAATTGTTAATTAATAAAAGAGTGTTTTCTTTAAAGGACTTGTTTGGATTTGGAATATGGTATCCTTGTGGGGAGCCAAAATATTATGTGGGTTGTTACGGTCTGATTCTACAGTACCGGTGGAGGGTCTTTTCATGGAAATACATTAGTGGTCTCTGTTTGTGAGTCATGTCACAAGAAAGTAAAACAAAAATTCTTCCCAAGATGTGAAATCTTCAACTTCTTCCCGTTTTAGGAAGAGGGATTTTGGTAAAAAATTTGCACGGTAAACTAGAGGATACCAAATGAGAAAAACATATGAAGTGGTTTATATAAAAAAAAAATAAAGTCCAAATTTGATTGGTTGTGGTAATAGCATAGTCTCTTTCCCTAAAAAATATCTCTGTTCCACTTTTCGTGTCTTCCTCACACAAAAAAAAGGTTGACTTGACTGTTATTTTTTTTTTTTTTCTTTCTTTCTTGAAATCAAAGGAGATAAAAGAAAACCAAATCATTGAACGTTTCACGCCATTGATTGAACTTCTGCCACCCCCCGCTTTTCGTTGTTTTCTTTTAAGCTAGGAAGTGACTTTTTGTGTGTTTTGTTGTTTTAAAGTGGTCAATTTTGTGGTTGTGTTTGCATGTTTTTTTACCTTGTTTGTGTTCATATGTGTGCACAGGTTACAGTTCGGGAAGCATAAGCATGCATGGGGCTTTGGCTGGTGTGAGAGGACCATTCACTCCTTCACAGTGGATGGAACTTGAACACCAAGCTTTGATCTACAAGTACATCACAGCAAACGTGCCTGTACCAACTCATCTTCTCATACCCATCAGAAAAGCACTCGATTCTGCTGCCTTCTGCAACTTTTCAACCGGACTCCTCAGACCCAACACATGTATGTAATGCAACACTTTTATTACCCATAAAAAAGGATCAGATAACCCTGTAGTGACAAGTTAGTTAATTCACTTCGGCCTGTAAAATAGTACTATTCTAATATAATTTAAAGCACTAATTTATAATCTAGGATAGATTGTTGAGTTGAAATTTCTGTTCTAATTGGCGCAACAAAAATAAGAATTGAATCTAAGTTTTCTTCTTATAACCAATATGAAGTGGTACAATTGAGAGATAACTATGTTTCTTAAACATGTAGTCAGGAGTTTCATTCCTTATCATATGTATGGAATAACATTTGCCAGGGGAAATCAGAGATGAAAGTCCAAGCAACACCTACTGTGAATTAATTCACGGATTTAATAGTCATATGTTGTAATGTAAAACAGTTTTAAGCTATCACAATTCATCAATGTGAGTATGACTTGTAAGAGTCAATTAGCTTAGCATAGGTTTGTGATTGAATAACAGTATCAGTTTACAGTCTTTTTCCTTACTAAAAGGAACAAAAATGAAATTTATTGTGTTGTTTGCTGCTGCTGCTAATGTTGTTTTGTGTGGCAGTGGGATGGGGAGGTTTCCATCTGGGATTCTCGAACAACACAGACCCTGAACCAGGGAGGTGTAGGAGAACAGATGGGAAGAAATGGCGATGCTCGAGAGATGCCGTAGTTGATCAGAAGTATTGCGAGCGGCACATGAACAGAGGACGCCATCGTTCAAGAAAGCCTGTGGAAGGCCAATCAGGCCATGCCCTCACCACCACTACCACCACAACAACCACCACTACTACTCCTAATGCTTCCTCAAACTCCATTGTGGTGCCTGGCAACAACAATACCTTTTCACACAACAATGTGCACCACCCTCTTCCACCTCATTCCTCTCCAGCCAACACCATGAATAGGTGAGTCACTCACAAAACTATAACTAACAATTCTCTTACATCAAGTTTATTTTTGCATGCAATGTCATTAACACTCAACTAATTAGAAATAATATTATGTATGACTTTTAAGGAATTTATTGTAAAAGTTTATTTATCATGCGTGTGACTATTTGTGGTTGAAGAGCAGTGTAAAAATCCTACGCTCTATCAGTGCATTTAAATTAATTTCAAGTTCAATTTGAGTGTCATCCCACAAAATATTTTTAAAAGTTCTTCAAGTTATGGGAATAAACTGTGGGAATATTGAAAGTTTGGTTGTAATGTTGATATAAATCACTTTAATACTTGAATTTCTAAGATTCTAAATTTAGTGCCTAGTTTTCGTATAACTATTATTCATTTTAGTGCCTTTCTACTGTTTTTTCCAACATGGGGGATTAGTATTTTCCTTAAGTGATGTAGTCAAGTGAAGGATATTTTAATGTTGGAACTGGGGGACTAAGGTAGTGTGTGCGGATTTATGTAATATATTTTTGCTTGGTGTAGGGCTTTAAGGGTTTGCACGAAATAGAATAAAAAAATCTAGTATTTCATCCTTTTGGGCAGAAAGGGGACTGGTCTATGTAAATACTGGTTGAGTTGAGATTCGTGTTAGGGAGAAAAGAAAAAGATGGTTCAAACTATGTAACTTCATCTGTGTTTGAAAGATTGCTTTTGATTCTTTTTGAATGGAGTTTTTGTATGTGTTTTTCCTTTGCATGCAGGATGTTTATGAGTAACAAAGAGAACAATAACAACGCTAGTGAGAGGATGCAGGATGGCCCTGCACTTCCCATGGTGCCTCCAACTCTCGAGCTGAAACCAAAGGACCCTTTCATGATTCATAAACACCAACTCCCATATGATGAATCATCCTCGAGGAACAACAATGAGTTTGGGCTTGTCACTTCTGATTCCTTGCTCAACCCTTCACAGAAGAGAAGCTTTGGTTCATCATCTTCACAAAAGGATGATTCTGAGTCCCAACAACAACATTCCCTCAGGCACTTCATTGACGACTCTCCCAAACCACAGTCTCATCATCACCATCATCGTTCATCTGTTTGGCCTGAACTTGACAACATGCAGTCAGATAGGACTCAATTATCAATCTCCATACCAATATCTTCCTCAGACTTCATGTCATTCACTTCCTCCTCACCCTCCAATGAGAAACTCACATTGTCACCACTAAGGCTTTCAAGGGAGTTAGACCCCATTCAAATGGGATTGGGAGTGGGAAGTGGTGCTTCCAATGAGTCAAACACTAGGCAAGCCAATTGGATTCCAATCACTTGGGAGAATTCTATGGGTGGTCCTCTTGGAGAGGTTTTGAACCTAAGTAGTAGTAATAACAACAGCATTGGAAGTGATCACTGTGGCAAGAACACTTCTGCTCTTAACCTCATGAAAGATGGGTGGGACAATAGTCCTCCACTAGGATCATCGCCAAATGGGGTGTTGCAAAAAACAGCATTTGGATCACTTTCCAATAGCAGTGCTGGGAGCAGTCCAAGGGCAGAGAACAACAACAACAAAGAAGGCGTCAGTGTCACCACCTTGTGCAATGCCTTGTGAAGTCCATTCCATCTTAGAACAACAGCAACATTATGAAGACATGATGGAAGGAAGAAGAAAAGAACTTTGTTCTTTTGACTTTAATCATTAGTGAAGTTTATATATATTATAATATATAAATACATATGGTAATCTTAGAATTTGGAAAGATGTGTTCTTGTTTGTTAATACCTTGCCCTCATCATAATTTGGATGTGTAGGTAGGTTTTTGGTTTGCTTGACTTCAATTTGTTTCTTTCTATTCATGCATTTTGACGAAGTTTGTATTCAACTGTAAGTGAATGATGTTGGAGTGTGTGGACTTGGTTGTTTTTTAAGGAGATGATGATGGACAGGTTTTGAGAAGTGGAGAGCATGATTTTGCATGACAATAGTAAAATATGTGTGAATGAATGATACGACTAATTGCTAGAGTCACTGAATGCACCTAGTAAAAGTTAATGCAGGCCACAAGTTTTGTAGTGCTGTTAAATGGAATAGAGATTTCTGATTCCTTATTTTGAAGTTTGAAGTGGCTTTTGTTCTTCTTCCCTTAAAGTTTGTTCGTTTGGGAATGAATTGGGGTTTGTAGGATGTGGACCACTACTCAGTGGCTGCCTAGCTTCTGTCTCTTTCGCTTTATGGCCTTTTAAATCTTTTGGTTTCACGGGGTTGTACTGTTCTGCATTTTTTAGCATGGATATATATATATATATATATATATATATATATATATATATATATATATATATATTTATATATATTTAAGGTGATATTGATTTGGGTTTGTTTGGATAAGTGTTTTCAGGGAAAGATAAAAGAAGTAAGTATTTATTGATAACTTAAACTTAGTTTAAAATAAGAATTTAGAGAAACTATGTAATTTTTAGAAATTAATTTATGCATAAGTGAGTTTTAATTAATTTGCATACGGTCATTTAAGAAGATTACACCCCCCACCCTAAAATCTAAAGAAACACCATCATGTTCCAACTTATAACATAATGTTATGGGTTACCTGATATATGTGCATACCCCATACCCATTGTTTGTTTGTTTCCAGGGGATAAGTTTCCATTTGATCATATTTGAGCAAAAGTGAAATGCTGTGCAAGTTGGGTTCACAACAACTGGACCATAAATAAACCTTTGTCCTTCTCATCCCTCCATCACTAAAACAGTGATCAGATAAGGAGCTCACTGTTCTTATTCTGGTTTATCTTTAAGGTTTTGATTATCTTCTACTGTTCAAACCGAGATAAGGAATAAAAAATCAGGCATATAAAATGGACAAAGAAATAAAGAGCTTTGTTGTGATTATCTATTTGTTACTCTCTTTTTCGTGAATTATTTATTAGTTGAAAATGATAATTTATCTAGCAATCTTCAATGCAATCAAATTTAGATAAAAAAATTTACATGGATAAAATTCGTTGTGTTATTGTATGGGATTGTTCTAATATAGATAGAATTCTGTATAATTTTTAAAAAGAAATATTTTTTCTAATTTATCTTATTTTAAAATTTATATTATAATTTTAATCAAACATGAAGTTTTTTAATATAATTTTACATTTTTTTATCTATCATTAATAAATATATTTACATTTTCACTTTAAATATTTATATTCATATATAATATTTTATAAGCTTGCAGCATATCTGAGTTTTTTTTTATAAAAAAACTCTTTTTAAAATATGGAGAAAAACATCTTGGCAAAAATAATAACAGCAAATTATTGTTTCATCTTATTAAATACTTAAACAGATAAATTTTTTTAATAAATATTCCTTCATGTGTTATTAAATATCTATTTTAAAAAAGAAAAATTCAATGTGACGTAAATTTTTTATCTATAATTCAAATTAATGTTTTATAATTTTGTTCCTTTTAAAGTCTTATACATGAATTTTTATATTTTCATAATTTTAATCTTCATATTTAGAAAATCCAAAATTTTGAATATACATTAGATTTTATATACCTATTGGTATATTTTAATTAATTAAATTATTTTTTAATAGTATCTTGAAAAAATATGTAAAATTAAAGACTTGATCAAAAACATAAGCTTTCTAAGATTGAGGGACTCATTTAAAAGAAAAATAATCTATACAAAACATAATTACAAATACAAAACTAAAGTAAAATAGAAATTACAAATTTAATATAATTTTAAAAAATTTAATAGATAGTTCACAAATATTAATCTTTACCACTGAATATCAAATTTTCAAACTAACAAACACATTAAATAAAATGGGAAGGAAAAAAAAGAAAAAAAGAAACTGGTGATAATTTTCTAACTAATTCGTAACACTATATGTGTTCTCTTCCATTGTTCTAAGATTTTGAGATCATGATGTATCCGAGGGAACCAACTAGGAAAATGTCGGAATAGTTGTGTACTAAAAGTTAAGTGTTTGTCATGTTGTTTCTATGCAACAATCATTTTTCAGAATCATAAATCATAAAAAAGGAAAGGTACTTGATTTTCCATTTTTAGTATGTTTTGAATGATTTGGTCTTTTGTACACAAAATGGCCACCATGTAACATTGAGTTTCTCTAGAAGAGAATTCAATAATTGATTCATGAAGCTATTTAAAGAGAATTCAATATTGTGTATAATGTTTAAAAGTCACACTTGAATGTTGATGTTGATAGTTTAATTAAATGTTGATGTAAAATATTATTTGGGTAATGTTATTATATCAATTATCAATGAGGAAAAATTGGGTGTTTGTTATTGAACAAGTATATGTGATTTTATTCAAATGACTTTAAACTTCATTATATGTTATACACAAATTTGAAGCACTGAGAAATATATTCATTTATTCTTTAAAAATATAATTAATTTTTTTACTAATTATTTTTTAAAATTTAATAATTAAGATAAATTATTATATAAAAAAAATAAAATTCTAACTTGTATTTTTATAATATATGAATATCTCTTCTATATATATTTTACGGTTTCATTGAGATAGAACATTTAATGTGATAGAAAAAAATGAAAATTAATATTATTGTGATAAAATAATTAAATTATTCTTATTGTTTTCATATATTATTTTTATTTGTGTTATATAAATACTTGATAATTCTTTATTTATTTTTTGTCATATAACTTTAAAAAAATATATTTTTTTTCCTGATTACCTAGATCAAACGTACACTTACACTAATTTTTTTTTTGTACGAACTTGATGTTTGGCTATACTTATTTTAAGAAATATTGTTAGAAAAAAAGACTATTTCTTTAAAAATAATAAAACCCAAACCAACAGTATTTTAAAATAGCATGGACAGTAACTTCTGACAGTGTTGTGACATTGGGCTGAAAGCCCAAATATCAGCTAAGCGGCCTTCTTAATGGGCTATTGTTGTAGCTTTGGGCTTCAACTTGCTCCCAATATCTTGGACCAAAACTTCTCTCTTTCCTCCATGCTCTTTCTTTTGGTGAGAAAACTAAAAAAGAAATATGAAGTACTGTGCTATACAGAAGAAGAATATTTGTTTTACATAAATAAATTTATATAAATAAATTTTTTTGGACATATAAATTATATTTTAAGATTTTTAATATATTATGTTTTTTTGCTACACGGTTATTTTTATATATCATAATTGATATAATATATGATATTATGGTTAAGTTATGAAACTTGAATTTATGGTAAATAATTTATGACCTGAATACTATATTATGATTATATGTATAATATCATATATTCCATAAATTATATAATAATATTATAATAATAAATGTAAAAGTATATAACTTTTTTTTTATTATTATTACTATTAAAATTAATTATTAAATGAATGATAAAAGATGTGATCTTATCATTGTTCTTCATTTGTGTAGGTTAAATTTTTGCATTAAGAAAAAAATCAAATATAAGATTCTTCTACCACATATAGATTCTCTAATGACGATAAATTTTTTACAAAATTTTGATAAATATTTTTTCAAAAATAATTAAATTGAACGAGATAAAAAAATATATAATAATATTATAATATATAAATAAATATAATTTTTATGTTATTTAATTAATTTTATAAGATTAAATCTCGACTTAAAGAATAAATAATATATTATTAATACATATAAATTAATAAAAAAATTAAAAAAATATAAAAGAATAAAAGATAAAATTTATAAATATATATCTAATAATCATTAAATTTTAAGAACTAAAATCATCATTATAAATATAAGTTTTAACAGAAAAGGATCAAAGGACCAGGAGATAATTTAATTTCTAATATCTTAAAATTAACCTAAATTTATAATAGCTTTTATGGTGTCTAGTAGGCTCTGTATCTACCTTAATGAGTCCATCTACCCTTCAATTAAACCTAGGCTTTCCTATGCCACTGACTTGGGAACTCATCACCTTGTGACCATCAACAATGGCGAAGAGATTCTTCACCTAATCACCATGAAAACACCCTCTCAACATCCATAGCAATGATTTCAGCGTCACGACAAGCACTAAGGTGGCCTCAAAATTAATATCAGAATTGAAATAGCAGTGAAGAATCCATTTGTATAAATGCTCCACATGCATGCTCTACTTAGTGACCACTTTCCCCACCAGTGGGTAGAATGTAGCAACCATTATGTCATGTAGAAGACAGCCACACATGGTGGAATATTTACTATTTCATCATAGCTTCTGTACCTAAATATTCCAACTCTGTGTGTGCATTGTTAGATTCATTATCACGTGCATGAATCCAATAAGTTCATTATCACATAATCTTCTTACGTATCATTTCAGAAATTCATTATTTCATATATCATGTAATGATCAATAATCACCTGATAAGTTTTTCATAAGTAAATGACAACAAAATCTTAATATTGTATACATTTCCTGTGATTTTGTAGTTCATATGTAGCTACTTTGCTTCAGAAAATGTTGGAAAATAGTTCATGCTTCTCTGTATTTGAATAATTCATACATTTGAATTCTATTAACTACATTACGATATATTATTAATAA